TTTACTTTTTCTGAGATTCGAACCGCCAACCTCTCCCACATTCGAACCGCCAACACCTTTAGCAACACACTCCCTCCACTATGACACATCAACATCACATGAATATATATGCAATATATATTATTTATATAGTATATTGACCGGTATTAATACAAAACTATATATATAAATGTAATTATTTTTATTCAATATAATTTATGTAAAAAATAAATTATTTATTAAAAAAAATTTAGGCCACTTTTGGCGACTAAATCCATTATTTAGTTGCCAATTCTATTATTTTGGGCTACTAATTAATTTTTTGTCACTAAAAAAATAAGTTCAAATTAAAAATAAGCAGTTTTGGCGACTAAATCTGTTTTTGGTCGCCAAAAAGTCCCCTTTTGGGTACTAAACTAAATTTTAGTTGCCAATTGACTATTTTTAGCTACTAATTTTTTTTTTGTAGCCAAAAAGCTTCATTTTCAACGACCAATCTGTTTTTAGTCGGCAAAACACCTATAATCGGCGACGAAAATGTTTTTTAGTCGCCAAAACCATCACTTTTGGCTACTAAATTATTTTAGTCACCAAAAACCGTCACTTTTGGCTACTAAACAACCTTTAGTCGCTAAAACCCCTACATTCGGCGACTAAACTCCCTTTTAGTCGCTAAAACCCCTGTATTCAGCAACTAAACTCTTTTAGTCGGCAAAAGTGTTCAATTTTGGCGACTAATTCCATTTTAGTCGCCAATTCTATTACTTTCAGTGACGAAAAATGAAGTTTTAGTCGCCAAAAACGCTTTTTCTTGTAGTGATAACTCGGAATGCAACGAAATGGAGCTCATTCAATGGTCGGTAAATAAGGCATTCAAGCCCGACTCTCAAGCACACTTAAAGAGATGAAATCATGGCAATATGGCATTCGTATAAGCTCTGAAATTTGATGAAAAATTACCCCAAGGCATGAAAATACCTTAGTATATGCATGGAATGGATCTCAATACTCAAAGCTAAGCATGGACCTTGAACTACAAGCATGCAAAACTAACATCATTCAACCACAAGACCCAAAAAAAGAGCTAGGGCAGTCCAAAATAAGCACATTATCAGTTTAAGACATGGCCAAAATGTGCTAAAATCAAGGTCCAACAAAGCATGCAAAGAAAGTTAGTGAACTATGAGTTGTTCTACAACTATATGAAGCATATGAGGGCTCACCCAACCAGCCAAAAACAGAAGTATTTCATGTCAAAATATGTCAAATAACCACTGAAACTCAGTCAATGCATGCAAGAATGATGGACTCCTTTGAAAGGCCAATAAGGGGGTTGTTCTACACATGCATGATGGACACACACAATGGCAAAACCACCTCTGGACAGAGGTTCTGAGGGTCCTAAAACTCACTAAAAAGAGCCTAAAAGGGGTCTAGGAAATATGCAAATAAAGGCCCCTTTGAAAGGCCTTGAATGGGATTGTTCTACACATGCATCAAAGACACAAAATATGGCCAAAAGGGCTCTGGACAGAGTCAAGGCAGACCTTGAAACTCACAAATAATGGCTTGAAACAAGACTTCTCAACATGCAAAATGGAGCTCCTTTGGAAGGCCAACAAGGCTAGTAAAGAGAACAAGGGGTGAGAGGGTCACCCCTCTCTGATTTTAGGGCTTAAAAATACATCTAAGCCACTGAAAATCCACTGAATTTTAGTGGCTAAGAGGCCAAAACAAGGCCAATGCAAATGCTCAAATGTATGGCTCAAAGCATGATGAAATGAAGCATGCAAGGAACAAGATAACTCCAAACAAAAAAGTGACCTCAATCAATCTTAAAGAGGAGGTCAAAACAAGACTTTTTCTAGTTTATGGAAAATCTCGAAAATGCTCACAAGTAGGGCTAAGATATGATGCAAAATAAGCCTACAAAGAGGGATAGAGCATACAAGGAGGTAGATGGTCTCAAACAGAAAAGTGTCCTTAATCAAACTCCAAGAGGAGGTCAAAAGAAGACACTTTTCAGTTTATTAAAAAGTCCATAAATGCTTGCAAATAAGGCTAAGCTATCATGCAAAATAAGGCAAGAAAAGGGGAAATGGAGGCTTACCCTTGTAGCACAGCAAAACAGCAGCTTCTGGACCAAGTTAGTGAACCTTCAACCCTTGCAAATCAGTCCCAAAGTGCTGGAATGGATGGTGGAGGTGGTAGGCTATGAGGTGTAGTGCAAATGGTGCAAGAAAATTAGGGTTTGGAGCTTGGAATAGTGAGTTATGGAGGGTGGAGTGTATATGCCTTAAACAAATTTGTTGAACCCTTCAAATGGAAGAGGAGGGCCTCTCTTATAGAGAAGAGAGGCCAAGGCTTCTCTTGGAAGCTTCAAATATCCTCCATACACGTGTACGGAGGATGGTCCAAATGCCTCCCAGCTGACACAGCTGTGATGCATTCAGAGAGAGCAAAAAGCAAGAAGCAGGCCGACCAGTTCAAGTGGTCGGCTGGCCACTCCCCTTGGTCGGCCGACCAGGGGTCAAAAGGTTCAAGGAGGAATGCTGGCCGGCCACCCCAAAAAGGTGGCCTCTCAGATGAGTGCAACACAGCTGTATGGTGGAAAACTAGAGAAAGTGACCCAAGAGAGAGAAAAACCAGCTTTTTAGCAAGGTTCAAAACGGTCAAGAAGAATTACTGGTCGGCCTACCCATATTGGTGGCCTCCCAGATGAGCACAACACAATAGTGGTATGAAAAGCCAGAAATTGTGGCTCAAAAGTGAGAAAAACCAGCTTTCTGTTAGAAAAATCGGCTTTAGGAGAGAGAAAAAGAGAAAACTGGTTTCCAAGGGGAAAAAGTTGCCTCCCACCATACTACCACCTCCCTAACAATGAAAATAGGGTCCCTACCAAAAATGGACCAAGACGGATGCAAAACGAGGGTTCGGGGTTCAAAACGCGTAGTCTGAGACCCGAAAACAGGCTGTTAGGCACCGGAAGTGGCGTATGACCACGAAGGTGGTCTCCCGGGCCACAGTGTCCCTCTAAAGGGAGGAAACAAGGTGTGTGCCAAAAATCGAAGCAAACGGAAGTAATCAAGTGGTCCCGAACCGAGGCACACGGCTGACAGCTCCAAAAACCGAAAACTGGCCTCCAAACGGGAAAAAAGGCCGACAACCACAAAACGTAGCCTACGGCCACTGAGAGATGGTCTACGAGACCTCTCCCTCCCTTCGGGAAGAGAAAATAGAGAAAATAGGACCTGGTTCGCAAACCGAGGCAAAGCACAAAAGAGCCCCAAAGTCCAGGGGCAAGGCTCGCAGCTGAGACTCTGCAACCTCAGAACGAGCACAATATGCAACATCACCGAGCGCTCAGTTGGTGACGTCTGAGTCTTAAGGTCGGTCAAAAATGGGGTGTCTACACGTCGCTAAAAATGTTATTTGAGACGGCAAAAAATGTCGTCGCAAATAGTCTTTTTTTTTTTTTTTTGCAATGGTAAAAACGCTGTTTTTGTGACGGTGGGGTGCCGTCGGAAAAAATATTAAAAATTTGAAAATTTCTATTTTTTGCGACAGTGTACTGCTGTCGCAAAAAGTATTAAAAAAATAATAAAATTTCTATTTTTTACAACAGTTTAGTGCTGTCACAAAAAGTAAAACCTGTAACAAAATCAATAAAAATATTAAAATTTTTTGTTTTTTGCGACGGTGTAGTGCTGTCGCAAAAAAGAAAAAAACATTCTGCGAAAAAATTATTAAAAATATTAAAATTTCTCTGTAATAATTGCATAATAATATAAAAATTCCTGTATAAAAATAACAATTTATCCATAATAAAATATTCTTCCATTCATAATTACACATCAACAAAATTATTCTACTACATAATGTTCCATGATACATATATAATGTTTAAATACATGATTTTGTTCATAATTCAAAATAACATAAACTAAAATTAAATGTTTTTCTCATCATTCTTCGTAGATAACAAAAACAAAAGTTAGCCACATTCTCCACAGGCATGCATTCCATAAGAAGCACACTCTTACATGAAAAATATCTGAAAAATAAAAATAAAAATAATTAATGACAATATAATTATGTGTTAATATTTAACTGAAATTACTGTGTAAAAAATTATGACACTTCCTACACTACCAAACAGATACAGGCATTAAAAAAAATTCAAGATCATAATAAACAAAATAATAATTTGTAAATAAAATTTTCAATCAATAGATATTTACAAGACAAAAAGTATCAAAAAAATATTTTATAAAAGATTTTACAAAAACAAAAACAAAAACAAAAACAAAAACAAAAAAGATCAAAATATAATAAAAAATATGATATAAGCACTTTTTCCACATTGATCGCTAATCTGACAAGATTTAAAAAAAGAAAATTATTCTAATAAGGACCCTGTTTTTTCAATTGGGACAAGAAGCATAAAATTGAAGGCTACAATTGCAATAGGTGGAACAAAAGATAGTCAGTTGCCTGTAAAAAATAATAGAAAGACTATGTACCAAAAAAAGGGAAAAAACACCAAAACAGGACCAAACCCTCAAAATGAAAGTTTAAGAAGGAAAACAATTATATTCAAACAATGAAAATTCCTTCAGGTACTTGCTACATAGTCAAACAAGGAACAGAATGATAACAACTGAACTGAACCAAAAGAGATGATTCCAATGTCCCATAGCAATTAGAGCGAGTACAAGGCCATCCATCATCAAAATACGCACAGTAGGCAATGCTCTCCAATCTCCTCTCATGCCCTTCAAGCAAATGGAAGCAGAGATAACTGCTATGAAACCCATTTTATAAGCAGCAATGGTTAATTTACAATACACAAGATATTGAATGCACTAATTCAGATACATGAGAGTTTCAACTTAACCAAACACCAAACTTTCTCAGACTCTGATGCAGTTATGTACTATATGCACCATCACTATTACTGTAAATAATCAAAGAATATTTTTTACTTGAAGTGAACACCCTCTAGTTTTAATCGCACCATACCAGTTTAATCTGGTTATGTACTAAATAACACTCATCACTAACAACTAAGCAAAAATTGTGATTGGAAATATTCTTCCCTTCCATCTCTAGTTGGGAAGTTTCTCAATTCACTTCTTGGAACCAACTATGCATTGACTCTTACATTAGTTAAACAGAATGTCAAAACACTCATGTTGGATTTGTCATGCAAGTGAGACTATTTTGTATACATATATATATTGCAGATGAGACTTATGCAAAAACTAACTTGTAGTGCCTATACCATCAATCACCAAATGAAATTTTTTTTCTATTTGGTAATCTTCCTTCCAGAGGCCACCATTCAATACTGATCTAATAAAGCAAGGCATCATTTTTTTCTCTTGTAGAATGCCTTAAATTTTGCCGAAATTTAATTTTGCTATCAGAAACCAATCATAGGGCAACTGACAAGTACCCTTTATAACCAGCATGAGCAAACTAAGAGACTACCACAAAAAAATTTCCCTGGCGTTCCACAAAATTAATGATGGCCTGATTTATCAACATATCAAAGAGAAGTAAAATTCTTCAATGCAAAGAGTACTAACTTACCATCCTCATCCATGTTATCCATCTCTTCTTCTGAATGGAATTGTTTGAGTATGTCCAGCATTTTTTTGTTTATTTTCATCATCAGGTTGCAATTGCCGCATCTCTTCTATTACGTTTTCTCTCATGAAAGATTCAGTACAGCGTAGACAATGAGACTGCAAAAATTGACAAATAAGGTCAACATCCACAGAATTATTTGACCAAATTATGACCAAAAAAGAAAATATGATATAACATTAATCATATCTGTGTATGCAAATAAACCACATAAACAAAAAGGAAAGAAGAGAAAACCTAGAAACCATTTGTGAACGGATTCTATTTTGAAACTTTTATTTGTCAGGAGCCTACCGTTTAGTTTCATTTGGCAATTAATTTACAAATTTAGACCAAAAACTATAGTTGTTAACAAAATATTTTGAAATTTTGCTTTTGATTGCGTACCTTCTTCACAGTTAATAAAGGTGAATTTGGTTTCCCACATTAATTGCAGCATATTAGATTGAAGTTAAAGGGAAGCTCCATGAAACAGCACAAAAGCAACCATAATTTATGAAACACGATGGTGAAGCAACATATGCAATGGCAATTTTTTAACAAACACAAGTATCGACTAGGTAATAAAACATTTTAAATATTTGATGATGACCCCCGGGGCGGACTGGGATGGGTTTTGAAGACTAGCTTGTTATGAAACATATGTTGATGGTGATCACTTAATATTTTCTATATGAACATAGTTGCATTGACTAAATCCATTAAAATGTTTATGTGTGAGCTAAAGAAGACTTCCCCAATACTTAAAAAATATTAATGCTTAAACATTTAGATAGTGAACTCATAAAAAGAAAGAAAAAAAAAATCAGACGGTGACAAATTTGATTCAAGAAAGCAATTGCATGGTATAAGGCTCATTGGGAAAAAATATACTAATTATCATGATTAACGGGTTAAAGTAATTTATAGTAATGAGCATCTTACCATTTACTGCAGAAGAGATCTCCTCTTCACTCTTTGCAACAGAATTTCCACGCCCATCATAAGCAAGCCTCCTGCTCTTTATCATTAGAGGATAGCCAAATAGTTCGCCAGCTCTCTTTGCACTTTCAAAATCATCTACCTGTCTTGCCATATTTTTAATATTACTTAATTTAAAAAAAACAAGGATATCGTAAACTAACATTTTCAAGGACAACGAAGAGTGTGAATTGGTAACTAAATCCTCGTGCCAAATTCTTAGAAGTTGTAGCTAACCTGCATAAAATCAGGACGTGGAATGCCATGACGCGAAAAATGAACTTTCTGGATAAATTTATCCTGAAAAAGGTAAAATATAGTCCAAAAATACAAATTTCATCACAAAAACAGACTTGATAATTGTTTGAATAAAAAACATTCGAACTACCTATCTGTCTGTTTCATTACAAGAAAATATAAAAATGAAATACCTTAATAAATATAATTGTATTTAACTTAGATTAATTTATCACTGCCAAAATTCTCACAACAAAATGTCTACGAATTACCAAATTGGTAGATCAAAAAGTCCACATAGCAAAAAGAGGTAAACAATTTACAAACAAATAAGAGTAACTACAAGAATAGATTCTGCACAAATGCAATTGTTCACAAATGCAAGGTATAATTCTGCACAATGGCATCCAAAATTCGACGCAAACCCGTATAATTCGGATAGTTTTGGGTTAACAATCCACCTCTTCTTGTTCTAACTTCTCTAATGTCACCACATCAACATGCTCAATTTCAACAGTTAACACTCCACACCTACCCACCAAAAAAATTAAAATCAGCTTGTAAAAATCAATCAATCAACAGTAGAATAAAAAATAAATAAAAGACAAAATCCCAATAAAATCTCCAACCTTTTGGCAAATTCTTGGACCGTGGCACTATCATCATAACTCCCCACCATATGATAATGTGATAGTGAACTTGCAGGGCAATTCTCCATTGGGTCCAATACAATCACCTTAATTACCAATTGAGACGCAGCTTGACATAGCATTCGACCCAATTGGCCTCCTCCCAATACACCCACAATTGTCTCTGAAACCCCATGTACAGGTAAATCATCATTCCTACACATAAATCATTCATATATATGTATATATGTATGTATAGATAGATGTGATTGAGAAGTGATAGGAGGAACCTGCGAGAAGTGCGGGGAGGTTGGAGGGAGGTTCGAGAAGGAGGGTGATGGTGCTTGAGGAGCATCGGAGAAGAGGAAGACAAACTGCTCCTCCTCCGACCAAAACTAAACCAAATTTTGCTGCTTAGACGACGACGACGACGACGCTGCTCCGACATCGCTTGCTGTCGATCGAGAGAGAGAGAGGCCCGTTGTCTGCCGCTCTCTGTCGTCTGCCGCCGCTCGCCGTCGATCGATCGATCGAGAGAGAGAGAGAGAGTGGGGGGGGGACGAAAAGATTAGGAATTTTTTGGGTTTGAGATTGGGGATTTTTTTTGTTGGGGGAGGGGGTGGGAAAAAAATTAGAGGGGGAAGCGGGAATGTAAAAAAATAAAGAGGCGGGAATGAAAAATAAAAATAAAAAATATAAATAAATAAATAAATTTATTTTTTGTTAAAATATATATTTTTTTGTAGTTAATGAATTTTTTTTAATTTTTTTTTTTAGTTACTAAGATTGAAAATTTATTTGTTTCATTTTTATTTTAATGAAAAAAAATATTATTATTTTTTATTTCGTAGAAGTAGGGGTAATATTTTAATGAAAAATATTTTCCACTAAAATAAAAGTTAATTTTCTGTAGTCAATGAAAAATATTTTTCTGCGGCCTATTTTTTTTGGTTACTAAAAATCATGAACTAATTTTTTGTGGTAGAGGAAAGGGAGCGGCAGTAGTGGTGAAGGTGGTGGATAAGAGATGATGGTGATGGTGATGATGATGGCGAAAGAGATTAGTGGTGAAGTTGTGATAGTGGTAATGTAAATGGAGTGGCAGGGGGGAAGAAGAGGTAATGGTAGTAGTAGTTGTGGTAGTGGAGTGGTGGCGATGGTAGTAGTAATGGTAGTCATAGAGGTGAAGTGGCGACAGTGGAAGTAGTGGTGGTGGTAGAATGGTGTTTGCCGTAGTGGTAAAGATGGTAGAGGAGATGGGTGGTGAGGAAAGAAATGAGTGAGAGACATATAGAGGAGAGAGAGAGAGAGAGAGAGAGAGAGAGAGACAAAGTGGTCACTAAAAGTGCATTTTCTTGTAGTGGATCGATAAATCAAGAGGGAGCTCAGTAAATAGAGAAGACGGGAGTGAGAGAGTGAGCAACGCAAACATAGTGGGGGAGAGAGAGAGAGAGAGAGAGAGAGAGAGAAAGAAAGAGAAAGAGATAGAGAGTAAGAGACAGAAAAGAGACATAGAGAGAAGAGAGATGGACGAGAGAGACAGAGAGAGATAGAGACGAGAGATGAGCGAGAGAGACATAAAGAGAAGAGAGATGAGCGAGAGAGACATAGAGAAAGATAGAGAGAAGAGAGATGCGCGAGAGAGATAAAGAAAAGAGAGATGAGCAAAAGAGACAGAGAGAGAAAAGAGATAGAAAAAGAGATGAGAGAAGAGATAGATGAGTGAAAGACACAGGAAAAGAGAGAGAGACAGATAGGCAGACAGACAGAGAGAGAAGAGTGATGAGTGGAAAAGAGAAAGAGAAGAGAGAAAGAAAGATGAAAAAATGGATGAAAAGATATAGACAGAGAGAGAGAGAGAGAGAGAGAGAGAGAGAGAAAGAGAGAGAAAGAGCGAAAAGAGATAAACGAGAGAGAGACAGAGAAAGATGAGCGAGAGAGCGAGAGAGATAAAGATAAGAGAGAGAGAGAGAGAGAAGAGAGATGTGAGAGATAAAGAGAAGAAAGATGGACGAGAGACACAGAGAGAAAGAGAGAGAGACAGACAGACAGACAGGCAGACAGAGAAGAGTGATGAGTGATGAGTGAGAGAGAGAAAGAGAAGAAAGACAGAGACATAGAGAGAAAGAAAGAGACAGACAGACAAAAAATAGTGATGAGTGAGAGAGAGAGAGATAAGAGAGACAGAGACACATAGAGAAAGAGAGAGACAGACAGACAGAGAAGAGTTATGGGTGAGAGAGAGAAAAAAAAGAGAGACAAAGACAGAGACAGATAGATAGAAAGATGAAAAAATGGGTGAAAAGAGAAATGTTCAAAAGAGTAAGACGACGTCGTTTTTATTTTTTTTATTTTATTTTTTGTAACAGAAAAATACCGTTGCATTTATTTAAACCATTTTATGACTATATATATATGAAGCCGTCTCAAAGCCACAATATAGCAACGGTACGTATTACAATCGCAAAAATTTTTTTTTTTTTTTTTGCGACTGCAGCTGGTACCGTTGCAAAAACTCTATTTTTTTTTTGCGACAGCAATCTCCACCATCGCAAATACTCTATTTTTTTTTTGTGATAGCAATTTCTGCCGTCGCAAATACTCTATTTTTTGCGATGGCAAGTTGTGCCGCCTCAAAAAGGCACATTTTTTGGCGACGGCAAGTTGTGCCATCTCAAAAAGTCACATTTTTTGGCGACGGCAAGTTGTGCTGTCTCCAAAAGTCATATTTTTTGTTACGGCAAGTTGTGCCGTCGCAAAAAGTCATTTTTTGCGACGGCAAATATGCCGTCGCAAAAAGTTCCGTCTCATAAGCCCACTTTTCTTGTAGTGTTGTATGATATAACTTCTAATTTCAATATGGATGATATGAATCATACTCAAAATTATGAAACTTTACTAAATTATGCATGCATGTATGAATTAACCTCAAATTCTTCATTCTAAGCTCAATTCTTGTATTTAAACTCAGTCACTATGTTTGGTTGTTGTTTTTCAAACTCAATTTTTTAAAAATTTTAGAGTATTTGTTTGGTTATTCCAAAAATTGTTCACTTTTCAAAATGATATGTTGAGAATTTTAAGGAGAGAGACAATTTTGAATATATATATATATATATATAAGAGTGTGTGTGTGTGTGTGTGTGTGTGTGTGTGTGTGTTTAGGACTTTTCAAATATAAATTTCCCTCCAATTTAAGGAGAGAGACAATTTTGAAAAAAAAAATTGTCACATGAAAAAGTACTCTCATCTTATATATATATATATATAGGTACATACTATAAATGTATGAAAACATAATTTGGTATGTAGCCATTTATGAGTACATATCTTACCATTAAATGTGTGACTTTATCATAAAATTTTCACTCATTTCAACCATAGAAAACGTAAAAAAAAAAATTTCTTTCATAGGATTAAATTTACATAAATGTTATGCTGAAAATTTTGTAAATCGTAAATTTAAACATAAATCTATGATTTTGTAAGTAAATTTAAACAAATTTACGATTTTGTAAATAAATTTAAACATAAATTTACAATTTTTTAATGCCAATTTATAAATAAAAAAAATTACATTTTCCGAAAATTTGTAAATAAATTTAAGTTTTTTTGCAAATTTGTAAATAAATTTTCAAAAATTACGATTTTTTTAATGTGAATTTGTAAATAAATTTTTTGCATAACATTTATGAAAATTTAATTCTACAAAAGAAATTTTTTAATGCCAATTTTTTTTTAAAAAAATTACATTTTCTATGGTTGAAATGAGTGGAAATTTTATGATAAAGTCACATAACTAATGGTAGGATATATATCCATAAATTTGTAAATAAATTTGCAAAAATTGTATTTTTTTAATGCCAATTTGGAAAAATAATTTACATTTTCTGTGGTTGAAATGTGTAGAAATTTTAAGATAAAGTGACACAATTGTGGTAGGACATGTATCCATACCAAATTATATTTTACTAATACATATATAGCATGGACATATATATATATATATATATATATAAACAAAGATGAGAATATTTTTTGATGTGACAAATTTTTTTTTAAATTGCCTCTCTCCTTAAATTGGAGGGAAATTTAAAATTGCAATGATGTATTTTTTTGAAAACCAAACAATGACTTTTTTTCAAAATAGAGTTTTCAAATCATTTTTTAGAAAAATTTTCCAAAAAAATGGAACCAAACATAGTGATTATCTCCTTAAATTCATACATTTGATGACTCTAATTCATTAATTGTGAGCTAACCACTTACCTAAGGTCTTCAATCAAGCAAATTCTTTAAGAACTTGAGTTCCCTTTCACAATTCTTCAATGTTACATGCAATTCCTAGCTTCCAAGCTCTTCTCATCTCTAAACTCAAGTTCTCTCACTCTCTAGAGCTCTGTTTCTCAGATTTTTTAGTACAAAAATAATGAGCTAATCTCATTCTTAACATATATATATATATATATATAAGGCTAGATTAGCTTAATTAATTCAAGGCTTTATTTAATTGATTTAATTTAATTAATTTAAACTGAATCAAATTTTAATCAAACTTCTCATTAGACTCTAAAAATTATGTCATTCACAATGGACTAATCAATTTCAGTTTCTAGCACCATTAAGGCCTTCAATTTTAGATTATATCAGAAATCACAATAGATATTCATACGATTAAGAGATATGAATCCAAAAATCACATTAACATATAATTAGCATTCAAATTCACACTAAGCACATACAAAATTAAAGGATTAAATGCATAATATGTGACGGAATTGTTACAAAAAGTATTACAATGATATAAAATACCGAGATAAAATACCACATATGTGAATTTTATTTATTTATCTATTATTATTACTACTACTAATTGATGTAGTACTTAATTATAAAAATAAAACTATTAGATTGTTTTAGTTTGGTTCACTTAAAATTAGTTGAGGTCAAGCTTGGCTTCTAGCCAAAATAAAATTGAGCTTAAATCAAAATTCTAACTATAGTTCAGCTCGTGTACTATTTGAGAAACTCAAGTTGTACTCAATAAGGATGGCGATCTGAACTTGACCCGACGGGGACCCGACCCCCCGACCTCGAATTGAGTGGGTTTTTCCCGAAAATTATCCCGACGGGCCGAGGATGGCATTCAAAAATCAATCCCTGATGATATTCGGGTCAGGGACAGGGGCCCTAGACCAGGCCTAGCCCCGGCCCTTTTAGGTCTGATGAAAAATTACAATTACGCCCCTATTTATATGTATGTATGTGTTTAGGGTTTGGTTGACATAATGACACACACAACACAAATACAAGGCTTCGTTGCTCTCTTTCTCTCTCTCTCTCACATGACAGTTGCTACTCACTGTCGCTCATCCCTTATCGCCGATTTTCAGTGGATCTCTCTCTCTCTCTCTCTCTCTCTCTCTCTCTCTCTCTCGTTCGTTAAGC